CCCCAAAACCCCAAAACCCCACTATATAAAAATAACAAAAAGTAAAGTAAGTTAGTTTAAATTTGAAATTTAAAAATGTCACAGCTACAATCCTAATTAAATAGCTTTCACAGATAAACTTCGATCACCTCATCAAACAATAGTGGTAATAGGTAACCCCCATCTACAACGAATAAGCCTCAAATTCCGGCTCTGAAACTAGGATTCCTTGATAAAAATAAAAGTATCTCTAATCATATAATTCAAAAGCAATCATTGATGCAATCAAAACAGAAATCATAGCAGTAATAGCAGTATGATAAAGATATTGATAATGATTCTCAGGAATCAGAGAGTGAGTATGAGGAAGTCTGCTACAAAAAGGAAAATGTCTAGTCGATGCATGAGTAGGTTCTTAATACTTGGAGGAGCATTGAATCTAATATAGCCACCACTCAAAGAGAGGGATCTACTTAATTGACATAATAAGCTTTAGAGTTATCAAGTCAAATTCAAAAGCTGCTCGAGAACCAGAACAAACTAGAAGTCTAAAGAGATTACGAGGAGACATTTGGAAGATAGAAGATTCTTGAACTTATAAACAACCTAGAGCTGAAGAATTTGAAGATTTCAGAGTAGAACAGGCAGCTGATAAATGACATCATGAGTGGATCAATAAATGTAAACACTTCTTCCCTATTGAATGGAGAGTTCAAACTAGAATTGACACAAGAAAAAGATGGAGCAGTACAGGCTACATAGGGTGCTATGGGGTAGACAATCGGACTACTAGTAACACTAAATGAGATTATCAAAGATGAGGAAAATGAGTATGAGAAAAGATTAGAAATAGAAGTACAAGAGAAGGATTAAGTCATCTTGAATCTGTAGTAAGAAATGGAGAATTAACAAAAAAGATTTGACAAGCAAAAGATACTTACTGAGCTTAACATAATAGACATGAGAAAGTAGATCAATGAGCTTGAGTCTTAAAACTGAGATCTTGTTGCTTAAATCTCTGAGCTTCAGATAAAGTAGGTAAATGAATAGCAGGCAAAAGACAAGAATGACAAGATAAGGGTTAAGAATTTTGGAAGATAAATTAACTTGGATAATTTGATGAAAGGTAAATTAGACATTGAGAAGTGGACTGATACGATTGATTAAGGCATACTTGATGCTATTTAAGTACTTCAGCGAGAAATTAGAATATTTGCCAAATCAAGAGATCACAAAATTGATACTAAAACAATCATGACTTTGGAGTTATTCAAAAAGCAACTAAAGAGAACCTCTTCTCTAGAAAACCTTAATCAACCAAATAGTAGAAGCAGTGGCTTAATTGATGAGCCAACTCCCAGATTTGTATTAGACTAAACAGCTCCTAATCTCATGTAAGATTAAAGAGACTAAAGTAATATGCAAAACAATATTAGGAATCTCGACCTATCTTCTTCAAATTTATCTCTCTTTCAAGCTAACTTAAACATGAACAGATCAATCTATATGCAGAAGTAGAATCAATCAATAAACCTTAATTCTAAATATTTCTCATCAACACTCAACAGTATTCTAAGAGGCAGACCCAATATGTCTAAGAAGAATGGAAAATAAAATTACAATGAAACCAAGGAGAGTTTATGGGTCTATATTACAGAGCTAGAGAACTAAGTCATTGAGCTTTCAAACTAACTTAAGAGATAATAAGACGAATCATAATTAGATATAACCATAAACATGAGTAATAATTAAGCTGTAAAGGAAATCAAGTCAAACCTAGAATCTCAATTAGAAGACTTTGCTATTGAAATTAACCAAAAATCAATCAGAATAGCCTAGCTTGAGAAATTTAATCAGAATTTATCTAGGATTGTAAATGATAGTATATGCTAAGAGTAATTAAATAAGGAGTCTACTTTGGTTAAGAATTTAAGAGGTATACTTTCTCCTAGACAATTCAAAAAGATTAATGCTTTTTTAAACAACAACTGTGTTGATTAAAGCCAAGCAATGTCATAAATGATTTATAACAATGTTGCATCTGGGGATTAGAATCAATATATGGGCTAAAGTATGACTATTGGGTAGGAGACATAATTCAAAGGTGAAGGCACATAAATGTTTAGACAAGGTTTTGTATATCCTTAATTTGTTTAAAGAGGGCAATAGCCTTAACTTTTCAGCTAATTTGATGAGTCTAAGATAGTTAAGAATGCAGACTCAAAGAACTCAACTGTAAGCTTCAATGAGCATATTTTCTCTAATCATTAAGAACTGGACTAATCCATTCAAGAACCTTAGGTGAATAATCTTATCTCTCCAGTAAATAAATTCTAGAGATATTAGCTATTCGGTTAGTAACACTTTAGAAGACATGGCATATCACCAAATTAACTTGGTGTACCTTAGAATAATAACCATCAAAGATAGAAATCTTAAGGGTAGCAAAACTAGCAGTTTATGCTGATAGAGGATTAGTTTAACACTTCAACAAATATGATGTTATTTGATGATTAATCTTTTGATAGGGACAACCATGACATATTTTCAGCAGTTGGTGGTGGCATAGGTATTGATATGGGAGGAGGAAATTATCTTAATCCTATTAATAATAACTCTATTCTCGAGGTTTCAAGCATAATAGACTCTTCACAGTATATTAAGACCTAGAACAATAAAACCCTTAACAGTTTCCTAAATTTCGAAAGCACCTAAAATAAGAAGCAGGCTGCAAAAGTTTTTAAAAAGCAGAATCTATAGATAAACACAATTAACTAGGATAATGGGGGTAGCCAGCAAAATAGCACTCCTAATAATAATATGAGCATTCTTAAGAATTCAATATTTGGAATGATGAGAGGCCAAAATGTCTGTGGTGGACTTAACTTCAGTCGCTTCTAGCAATAACATAACAACTCGAATAACAATATTTCTATGTAAGCTGGGTAAACAGGACTACTTATTCAGCAACTTCAAGATAACTTTCAGACTTAGCTATAGGATCTCAAAGATGAAAAAATAAAGCTTATCTAGATTCTGAATAAGTTTTTGAATCTGCCAGATGATAGTTCAGCATAGAATCTAGAACAGTTACTTGACACATCGCATAATTTATCAACAAACACTGATTATGTCACTCTACCTTCAAAGTAATACTTTGAAGATTTCAGACTTTAAATCACATAAGCATTAACTAAACAATAATTAGACATTTAATCAATGCAGCAGCAGAAAGATTAGATGATTACTGAGAGAGAATAAATAAGCATTGAAAAGGAGAAGCTGGAGAAAAAGAGACTGTACTACAATGAAAAGGTCGAGAAACTCAAAGCCAAAAATGAAGAATTCGGAAAGAAAAATCAATTAATGGATGAGAGAGATAATCTACTCCAACAATAAGAATAGAAGCTTAAATACAGAAAGCAAGCAATGGATGAGGAATGGAAAAGACTAGATAAGATAAAGGATGATCTTTCCAAGCAAGAAGAAGCTATTAAGAAAGAATGGGCTTTACTTAAACAAGAACTGAACGAGCTTAATAATCTGAGATTATCTCAGAAAGATGAAAAGATTAAGATCAAGGAAGTCAAAGCAAAAATTGATGAAGAGAGGAAATATATTGACAGCACCAAGGAGTGTATTATGCAAGAATAGAGTAAAATTTTAGATAAAGAGAAATAACTTAGGATGAAAGAGAGGAAAGTAGAAAGAGACCAAGAAAGAGTGGACAAGGCCAGATAAGATCTGGTCTCAGATCAACAAGAGATTGAAAAGTAAAAGGAATTCATAAGAGGTGAGAGAGAATTGCTTGATTAAGATAGATAGGATCTAGAATCAAAGAGATAACTTAGTGGTATGTTCATTCCTGATATAAAGAATCTAGTCACTAAGATGCAATACAAGAGTGCACAGAGAGTAAAGCCATCTAAAAATGTAAATAACCAACAAAAGATGTATATTAATGATGAAGAACTTAGAATTAAACAGAGTAATGGTCCATAAAATAATATTAGCTCACACACTTATGGTTCTCATGACTACAAATCTTAGCCTCATTATAAAAGCAATTCATCAATTACTAACATGAATGCTTACATTATGAAATGCACTGGGGATCAATGTGGTGATCATGGAATGTTCAATTGTGATCTTCACAAAGATATGAATAAATCCACTATTAACCTCAGCAATATTTCTTGTTTCCATTAGAATAGCAGTTAAAATCAAAAATCTAACTAGTCCTTCACAGCTATTGGTTCTGGTAGGAACTCTTATAAAAATTATTAGAACCAAAGTCAAATGATAAACAACAACTCAACAACACATCAAACCCAATCCTAATCCACTTCTAATTTGAATATATCTAAGAATTTCCTTAGAAACACTTCATTCAAGAGATTTTAGCAGAATTAGCAAAACACAAGTGTGTAGCAACAGCCAACAAAAGAAAAGAAGTTGATGATTAGGCATCTTATACCATAGTCTACAAAAAGCTTACTTGACATCTCTGCTATAAATGATAGAAGTATAGACAAAGAAAATAGCTAAAACAACATAAATACTACTTAGAATAAAAGTAATCTAGATTCTATCTTGAAGGGAACAGCAAAATTCCAATAGAGCAGGAACAAATTAGAGGAATCATACAACTCTTTAATGGACAGTTTCTGCGTACCAACTAAGAATGATATCAGTAGCTTCCAAATGAAGAACTAAAAGTCATTGAATGAGTACAACAATGATAAGATCAAAGTCTTTGGAATGAACTAAAACATTGGTAGAAATGGGATGTAAGGAGGTGGACTTGGGCATTGTCAAGAATCTCAGGATGATTTGATGAATTCTCAATATAGCTTCTTAAGCTTAGAAGAGGAATTCGGCAAGGTAGGAGTAAATGATAACCTAATGATTGAGAGTGAATTAGGAAGAACCTTAAGCAGAGATGAGTTATGAAATTAAGATAAATATTATTATTGATAACATTCAATTTTAATTAGCTCAATAGTTAAAGAACTTAATTTTCCTAAACAAGTTTATAACTGACTGCAGTTCCTTATTCTAACTGCAATAACTATTGTCTAGACTTTATTAGTCGGCACTGGCTATTTGGTTGATGTCCATAATTATGAGAATTTACTCTTTATGTGAAACTAATTGCATTATCTTGCGAGTCTCTTCACATCCCTTACATATTTCATTTAACTTTCTATTGATGATATACTCTTCCTAATCATTTTGAATTAAATATCCAAATTGTCTAAGTTTCCTCAATGTTTAGACCACTTTCTCAGGATCATCGTTATAGCCTGTTAAATTAGCTATTTATATCTTAATTCCCTCTGCTGGGTGAATCTAATAGATGCTAATATACTCATTTTCAAGACACTTATTTTACTTGATACCTCTTTACTCAATTTTTTGAAAAAAATGACCAAATAAAGAATCTGAAATCAAGATGAAACTAGCATTTTTAAATCTAATTAATTAATCCGGGTTCAAATAACTATCAAATATCATATTACTCATATAGCTAAATGAATCTGGGAAAGAATCTAGCAAAGACTATGAGTCATCAAGAATTCTATCAAAGTTCTTTAAATTACAAGCAATATTTTAATCTCCATTGTTTGCGGCGGAGGAAATTATGCCGATTATGTAAGGACCTCTTCTAGCCTGGATGTTCTTAATCTCTTTTTCTAGTACTTCAGATCTGTAATATTGAAGTTCTAATTCTGATTCTAATTGAAGTATATCACTAATCTCTATTATCTCTTAATCAAGATATTACAATTCTTCAGCAAGTTACTAAGTTTCTAATTGAATAAGTGTTTATTTGCTCTGACAACACTTAAGCTATTCGCTTTGTTCTGTGTAGTTTTATTATAACTCTAATGCAAGATTATCTTGATCTTTGAACTGCAGCAATAAACCATCTAATTCTATCTGGAGGGTTTTTAAATCTATATTAAGCTCATGCCACTTAATATTTTCTCCTTCGATTTAATCTCTTAGAGTTGATATAAGCTAGTCGTTTTCTAGATTTTAGAGGGATTCAGTTTCCTTATTAATTATTATCTTTTGATTCAGCTCATTAAGCTAACTCTGAAGCTGCTCTTAGTCTAAAATAATGATTCAGTGTGACAAACTTACTTAAGGGTGGTGGAGGTTTCGCTTTGCCTAATAACTTTTAATTATTCTATTGACCATTTTGCTTTTATTGATAAGGCATTTTATTTTCAACTCTTTGATTGATCATGTTCATTACCTTCTGCGGAAGTATTTTAATAGATTACTTATTAAGATCTGTATGCTTTTTCTCAAAACTTGTTTCTGCCAAAATCCTCTTTTTTTATTGATTTAATCCCTAGAGCTAGATCGGTTAATTTATAGGATTCTTGAATGACTGGGCATTTTACTTCATATTTGTAATGCAAATATTGAAAGATTATATTGAAAATTTGTAATAACTCAGATTAACTGATAATTTTCGACGAGAGGGGTTTTGGGGTTTTGGGGTTTTGGGG